CTTGATCTTTCCTTTTTGTAAATAAAAAAATTACAGGTTTTAAATAGCCAATGGCTGATCATGTCTTCAGAAACATGATTAAATTAATTCAATAATAGTGGCTTCAAGTTTTTCCTTATTAGCTCCAGAGAATTCACCCACCTTTTGGCCCTTTTTAAAAAACTGAAAGGTTGGCATGCATTTGACTTCACACTCTGAAGCAACATCCTGAGAGTCATCCACGTCTACTTCAAGGAACACCACATTGGAATACTTTTTAGAGAGGAAATGAAAGAAAAGCTTGATCATTTTACAAGACCCAAACCATGTGGCTGAGAAGTCAACACTACAAGTTTATCTCCTGCACTGTTCAAGGCTTTCTGAAAAGCATACTTGCTTGCGACCTGCTTCACCATTTTGGCTGCTGGTGTCTGATGAGCGATCTTACTGTAGAAGCAATGGAAGCAGATCCTCGGTGCCTCACAGAGCTCAGTAATTTCTCATTTCCCCTCCCCCCAGCACCTAATAATCTCTCGTCTACTTTCTGTCTCTACAAATTTGACTACTCTAAGTACCTCATGTAGATGAAGTCATGTAATATTTACCCTTTTGTGTCTGGCTTATTTCACTTAGCATACTATCTTCAGGATCCATCCATGTTGTAGCATGTGTCAGAACTCCATTCCTTTTTTTGGTTGAATAATATTCCATCATCTGTATGTGCCACATTTTGTTTATCCATTTATCTGTTGATGGACACTTGGGTTGTTTTCACCTTTTGGCTATTGTGAATAGTACTGCATTGAACATGAACATATAATATCTGCTTGGCCCCTATTTTCAGTTCTTTTTGATATATACCAGAGAGTAGAATTGTTAGGTCATGGTTCTATGTTTAATTTTTTGAGTACCCACCATGCTGTTTTCCACAGAAGCTGTACCATCAGCATTGCAGCAGACTCCAATTTCTACACATTCCCAACGCTTGTTATTTTCTTTTATTTTTATTATGGCCATTCTGGTAGGCACCAAAGTGGTATTTCATTGTGGTTTTGATTTGCATTTCCCTTCAGACTAATTATGTCTGGGGGGCATCTTTTCATGCGCATATTGGCCATTTGTGTATCTTCTTGGAGAAAGGTGTGTTCAAGTCCCTTGCCTATTTTCAAATTAAGTTTTTGTTGTTGTTGAGTTGTAGAAATTCTTTATATATTCTAGATATTAAACTCATCACACAGATGATTTGGAAATCACTTCTCCCATTCTGTAAGTTATGTTTTCACTTTCTTGTTTCTTTTTTTGCTTATGCTTTTGATTTCCTAGCTAAAAATCCATCATGAAATCCAGAATCATCAAAATTTAACCCTATGTTCTAAGAGTTTTATGGTGTTAGCTTATATAGTTAGATTGTTGATCCATTTTGAGTTAAGTTTTGTATGTGGTGTAAGCTAGGGGTCCAGCTTCATTCTTTTGGATCTGAAAGTTTAGTTATTATTGAAGAGACTATTCTTAATCCATTGGATGGACTTGGCACCCATGTCAAAAATCAGTTGGCTGGGCATAGATGTGTGAGTTTATTTCTGGACTCTCAATTCTTTTATTGTTGTTGTTGTTGAAGTGTAGTTGATTTACAATGTTGTGTTAGTTTCTGGTGTACAGCATAGTGATTCAGTCATGTGTGTGTGTATATATATATATTGTGTATATATATATACACACACACATTCTTTTTCATATTCTTTTTCATTATAGGTTATTACATATCAGTTCTATTCCATTGATCTATATGTTTATCTTTATGCCAGTACCACACTGTTTTGGTTATTTTTAAAATAATTTTGGTTGGTGGTAGGTAATTGGGTTTGTTTATTTATTTTAATGGAGGTACTGGGGATTGAACTCAGGACCTCATGCATGCTAAGCACACACTCTACCACTGAGCTATACCCACCCACCTCTGTTTGTTTTGTTT